AACTTCTGTCAATAGTCTTTATATGTCATTTGTGTTAACTCTTGCTTTTTTGTTGACACCTATCAATCTTCTATAGTTTTTGTTTCTGTCATCTTGCAGTTGCTGAATTATTTCCTGGTTCCTTATTATTTTTAAGAGACCTTTCCTTTCATGGTCAATATATACAACACTGTCTTCAAGGTCTGAAATTCTGTCCTCAGTTTTGTTCAAGTGGGTTTGCCAGCTTTAAATGGAATTTTTAATTTCCTGTATATCTCTTGAATCTGTTTCATGCATTCTAATTCTTTCCTATATTGTTGATTTAAGGTTTCCATTATTTTTCTATGCTCCTCTATTTTTTAACCTACATCATCCTTAGATATACTGAGCAATTCTTTCATTTTGGTTGTCATTTCATTTTTAACATGAGAGATTATTTCTGATCTGATTTTCTCTGTGGCCTCCTGGAGTTGTTTCTTTACTTCAGTTTCTATCATTTTAGAAATTTCAGGTGTATGACTTCCAATTTCCTCTATGTTGATGTCTCTTGGACTTGTTCTGGTTGGGCTTGGATGTCTGAGATTGCATTTTGCTCCTTGTATTGACATTTTCTATTTTCAAAAAGTTTTTATTTTGTTTTCTGTATTGATTCTTGTGATTTTTAGCAGTAAATATCACTAGTATCACCACCTCTCCAGGAAAAGTTTGCTCTTTAAGGATATTTTCTGTGTGTCAGATATTCTTGGTTTGTGTCTGTCCCAAGATCCTACCTTTCCAATTAATTTAGATTGGGATGTTGATTTCTATTTGGCTCTGTCACCAGTCTTTAGGCGTATAGCTGTGTTGAGGTTATTACCCCAGAGCTTCCAAATATTGTTACACAAGGGAGAACAACTGATTACACAGATATGACATCCTAGCTACAGTAGTGCAATTATTAATAATGGTGGTATCAAGCAAAATTTAGAAATGGGTAAACTGTGATAACTACTGATTTTGTACTTTAGACCCTAGGAGCAAATCTACAGTTATATAACAGTACCAATTGTAAATTAAGAGTTTGTATGCAAAGTATTTCCCCTTGTTAGAGTGGATTTACCCCAGGTTCCTGTAGCCAAGCCAGTTGCCATGTACTGGGCTCCTCCCATGCTTGCTGTCCTACCTGTGGTGTAGGGGGATGGACCAGGCACATGGTTCCTCTGGCAAAACTGTTTTCTGAGTCCTAGGTGCTTCCTGTGGTGTAGCGGGGTGGTCCAGGCACCTGGTTCTTTTGACTGAGCCAGTTGCCAAGTCCTGGGCACTTCCTGTGCTGACTGCCCTTCCTGTGGTATAGGCAGATGGGCCAGACACTGAATTCCTCTGACCAAGCTAGTTGCTGAGTCCCAGAGGTTTCCCGTGGTGTTGAGGGGTGGGTCTGGCACCTATGTTCCTCTGACTGGGCCAGTTGCTGAATCCCAGATGCTTCCCATGCTGGTTGCCCTTCCCACAGTGTAGGGGCATGGGTCAGGCACCTCAGTTCCTCTGGACAAGTGGATTTCTGAGTCCCAGGCACTTCCCGTGTTGTAAGGGAATAGAATATTTCCTGTAATAATGAACCTAATAGACAATATGCATTTTCTATGACAAATTCAAACAAATTCCAGTGTAACTATGTAGAAACTGTGGAAAGAATTCATTAAAGTGGCACATTTGAGAATAAATTATGAAAATGTCAATAGGCTTTTTAAATGCTACCAATAATTAAATAGAAGATGGTTTCAATGAAAAAAGACAGTACTCAAATAATATTATGATTAAAAGGTTCCTAAATAAAAGTAAATGGTAAAGTTTTTATAAATAAATTATAAAATATAGAAATATATAAAGGAATGGAGAGACAGTATGTTTCTGAAGAAGAACATATTCTCTTTGCTGGTATCATTTTATCAATGGCTACTTTGCCTTATGAGACAATGTATTCTGCACTCTTTTTGGCCAGCTCTTAGAATGTAATAATGTTGATTTCTGCTAAAAAGATTCAGAGGTCATTGGAAAATAGTATAATGTATATTTTGATCAAGAGAGTTCTAGGTACATCTCAAGCAGCTTATTAACATAAAGAAAGGATATTGTCAGAAGTATGAGCTAGTGGTGGTATTGAAAAGATGAAGTACTGTGAGTGGTTGAGTCTCATCGCAAACAATATAGCAATTTCAGTTAATTAGAACTCCAGAGTTCTCTGTTAGATAGACAGAGACCTTTGATGGTTCTGCCATTACTGCCATTTGTTAATATAGAATCATTTCCTTTCGATGGATGTCATATTGCCATCCAGGTGTCTCCCCAAGCAATAATTCAGGATTATTTTGTATTCTTTCATCTACCATGCATTAAGTACAAAGACGATGATTCTCTTTTTATTCTATCCATTTCAGTTCTATCTAATATTATTTATTAGTTCAAGCACAAATGGTCTGTTTTGAACTATCATAAACTTTATAGATTGACTCCTTTTTTTCCTTTTTTTTTTTTTCTGGTACCGGAAATTGAACTCACGACCTTGTGCTTGTCAGGCAGGCGCTGTGCCGCTGAGCTAAATCCCCAGCCCCTGACTCCTTTTTTTCTGTCTTGAATTGGATTCCACCCCTGACATCATTTGATTATCTGGAGTTTGTTTGCTTCTCATCCTTTCTCTTTTTTCTGGGAGCCTTGGGAGATCTTGTCTACATCTCTGTCTTAGATTTATGTCCAGGTGCTAAAGATATATTGAAGATGCTACAATATCCACCTGAAACTTTTCTTTGGAGGTCTAGATCCCTATATTTAGGTGCCAATTCTTCAAACTCAGTTTGACCAAAAAGTGACTCTTCCAAATGGATCTTTCTTTTGTATTTTTCATCTCAATAAATAATATCATTTTCTATATAGCTGCTCAAGTTTTAAACCTGGGTATGATTTTCAAGTTGTGCATCTCTCTAACTCTCCAGGCCAATTCAATCATATTTAACTCTATCTCTTAAACATATTTTGGTCTTATTTCTTAGCACTACCCCAGTTGTTATTCCCTTGGTCACAGTTCAACTGTCTCATCCAAATTTTTTAGTGTGTGTCTTTGTTGTCTTTCTGCAACTCATTTCTTATACTGGTAGTGCAGAGAGAACATCCTTTGTACATCTACAAATCTGTGTTCTTCTGACTGAAATACTTCACTGCTTTCTAATTGTTCTTATAGTACATGAACATGTCTTCTAAAAAAATTACAGTCTTGATTCTGGTTGCCTGTCAAACATCCCTTTGCCTCTCAAAGCTCTACTGCCACTTACAACACTCTGGTCATTGGAATTCCTTGTTTTTTTGAATGAACATTATTTTCTCTTACCCCTGGACCATATTGGACCATATTCCCTCTCCTTAAGGAGCCCCCAACACCTCTTTTTGTCTCACATTCTACTTTACTGCTTGTTATTCAGCCTTCAGATTCAAATTTAATTTTCTGTTCCTCTAAGATGGCTTCACTGAGCACCAAGTTCACTTAAAAATTTCTCTTTGCTCCCGATGCCTCTCTTGCTTATCTGATTCTATTAATATTTTTGTTTTAGCTTTCTGAGGACAAGAACTATGGCTACATTGCTTATGTTTGTATCACCAGATTTTGGTACAGGCCTGGCATAAAACAAATGTCCAGAAAGAATCTGACTTAATGAATTAACCTATGCTTTGGCACAAGCAGTATCCTTAATGAGAATTTCCTCATTTGTACCCTCACTTACTTGTAAACTGCTGTTCACCGTTCACGCCCCAGAATCATGGATTCTGGTTTCCCTAAAGGAGTCACAAGGCACAGATCCCTCTGACCCACATTACTGTCTTCTCCAATATCACCATTTAAAGGTAAATTTCTTGTGAGTCTGCTTACAAATCAGACTTCAAGTTCTGTGATGGCAGGCTCTGTTTATTCTTCTACAAATATCAGCACATATTACTTGTTAGAGCACATGTGGTGAAGTGCTTGCTAACAGTAAGAGGGAGTATAATAATAATTTTCTTTTGAAGTCATAACTTAGTCTTAAAAGCATTTCAAAAGAAGTGTTCTGTGCAATTTGTTCATTGGTGAGTGTAATATATACTTTTCTTCCCTCAGATACTAGTTGTTAAAAGTTATAGATTTGTGCCTCACCTATATTCGTTGCATAGATGTGTTCAAGATTCTATTACATGGAATGATCCGTGTCCATACTCATGGTGTCTCAAAGAAATTTTTTGAAATAAAGAAATTCATGGCATCCTAAATTTTTAAAACCAATTTGGAAAACATAACACGATACATCTTTATAGATCTCTGAATATTTTCCAGGTTGTCCTTCAGCTCTGGGCAAAAACAAGATGATATAGATTTTTATAGGTTTACTATCAAAAGTAACTGGATTTGTGGTTCTAAATCATGGATAATTTAGCACCCAGTGAAATTTTTGGCAGCTTCTGGGAGAATTTCTGATTACAGCAAGTGGGTGTGTTTGTGCTAATGCCTAATCTGGTGTGTGGAAAACAGGGATAATATTAAAATTCTTACCATGCACAGGATAGCCTCTTATACTGAAGAATTATCCAGTGCAATATATCTGTAATGTGAAATATTTCACTCAAACATACTTTCCTATTTTAGGATGGAGTATACATAGCATTCAACCTGCAACTAGAAGACCAAAGTAAACTCTTATTCAAGTGTCCTTGCTCTTACATATTGAAGTTTTTAATTTTTAAAATATTTTAATCTTTATTTCATGAGGTTGTCATATGAATTAAACATGATAATCTATAGGAAAATCTTAAATTTAGTATCTGACAATTAGTAGTTGGTCAATAATTACAAATAGGTCTAAGAATCCAACAGAATGGGTTTGGGGGTAGGGATAAATGGAAGTAACCCTGCATAGTTCCTTGGCATATCATACTTCTACCATACCATTTTACATCACCACTTCTGAGAATACTTTGGGGGCGAGTAGACATTGACAGAGATCCTGGGAGATGTGCATACGTACTTTTTGTTCTTCTCGCTCTACAGCTGCATTGCACTTTTCTAGTCCTGAGTTTCTCAAAAAGTCTCTGAAATGGCCAAACAGGGTTGCAATTCCATATCCCATGTATGTGGTAACCAAAGCATGAAGAGGTGGTTCCTCGAAGGACTCAACAACAGTCTTTGCATATAAATTTGAGTTTCCATTTTGCTGAAAATACAAAAGAGAACCCAAGTTTAGCCATTTTCTATTAAAATATGCTATGATACTTAACCTTTTTTACTTTCTAGCTTTTAAATTTTAAGAAACATTTTTAAGATTGCAAAAGCTTCTTGGAAAAAACTGGAAAATGATTATTGAAGAGGATGTCATAAATGTAAATTTTATTTTATAACGTCTAATGAAATAATTGATTTAGGAAAGAATTCTCAAAGATACTCAAAACATTAGGTGAAAAGATAATGAGGAACAGAATATTGGCAAAGTGCCAAAATACAACCCCATAAATTACTGCTTAATCATAAACCTGGAGTCATATCCTGAACCAGTTTATCAAAATACATCACAAAGGTCAGCCATGTGGAGTTTCATTGTGTTGTAATAATCAACTATGAACAGCATCAACTATGAAATGTTTAACCTGAAATTACTGGAACTCTTATATATAACTTTGATTATGTAGAAATGTAAAAATAGAGGAGCCCAATAAATGACATCATGAGGAAACAATCAAATAATCCACAATGTAGCACTTTATATCTGACAATTGGCTGGGTCTTTCAGAAAGTTAATTCTTGTAAAAGAAAGGACAGATATAGAGGGTTTAAAAGAAACTATAAGCCAAGGTAGTATGTGTTCCTTCACTGGATTATTTAAAATAATTTTTCTGAAAAAACTGATGAAAAAGATATACTTTACACAGTTGTGCAAATATAAATATGGACTATAAATATATAGTACTAAGAATCATTAATTTTATAGGAAAGAATAATTATTATATAAAATGATATTTTAATTCTTATAGGTGCATGCTGACATATTAAATGATAGGATAATTGCAGCTGTAATTTTTCCTTCAAGCAGTTCACCCAAATTACACACACACACATATATATATATATATATATATATATGAAGATAGTCTGAGAAAATGTTAATTGTTGAATCTAAAGGGAGGTCCTCTGGTGTTATTATATTATTTTTGTACTGTTCTATATATTTCCAATTAAATAAATATTTAAAAAAACTTTTCCTTTTTTAAGGTATCAACATTCAGTGGAAAGTAGACTTTTAACATCAAATATTATGATTATTGCTTAACTGATTTCACATAGTAGCTGCATCAATGTTTGCTCAGTGGACTAGCTCAGTGGACTTATACTAGCATTAATGCTAATGCTGGTATTCATTTAATACATTTAATAAATTAATGAAAGCATAAACATTTATGGATTCATTCATTATTTCTTTCAATCAATATATGTCCATTAGATTCATTTCCCAATGAAATAATTCATAAAAAGTGTTTTTAGCACTTAGATCATGTAGCTATTAGAGATGTGCCAAATGGTATTAAATGTACACTACTACTTAATGTATCAGTTTAATATATTTGTCCACTTTTTGTTGCTGTGGTAAAAATCCTGCCACCCACAATATAAGAGAGAAGAGGTTTAACTGTGGCTCAGTTTCGGAGGTTTCAGCCCATTATTGGCCAGTTCCAGAATCATGTTGCCAGAAAGCAAAGGTGGAAGAAAGTTGTTTAGTTCGTGGTGAGAAACAGAGCACAGGGGAAGAGTGCCAGTAAGAGATGTCTCCTCCAGGGGCACATTCATAGTGACCTACCTCTTTTAACTGGTCCCCACATCCTAATGGGACATTGAGTATGAACATCAGTGGATGAATCCACTGAGGAGTATAATGCCTCTGTGAACAAATCACCACTCCAGAGTCTCTTAATCTAGTCAAATTGACAATTAAATTCAACTATCACATTTAGCTTACATTTATATTGAGAATGATGCATTATAGTAAATCATGTTAATTATAAATGCTGTTCTGGCTATTCTCATAGTCTTTGCTACCAGCACAAGCAACACAGTGTTCCAGATCATGCTGTCTTCATTTCTTCTATATTGTTTGGATTGCAGTATTTTTTGAGATCTTAATGTGATTTATGTCCCTGAAGATTTTCCCCAAGCCACAAAATAGATGAAAAAAATATAATAAGTGAATATTTTGATCTTAACATTACTTGTTATTCTTAAAAATGCAGAGGACCCCACCTAGGCTGGCCCCTCACCACTATGGTCAAATTACCGACTTCTAGCTGGTTCTCCACATTGGATCTCCTTAGAACGGGGTGGCAGAGTGACATACAAATGTCTGACCAAATTTAGGAGGAGACCTGGAGGAGAGTTACATGCCAGGACTGAAGTGTTACCTTACTGTAGAGAGAAGGTATGAGATGGCCACAGGAGAGAGACTTAGAAAAAGTGAAGACTAGAAATAGAACCCCTAAAATTCCCCAAGAAGGTCAAGCTCAGGCCAAGAAGACTGAGGTGCTTCATTCTATGGCGATAGGCCAGATTTGGTGGGTGTAACCTTCAGAGGGGGTTGAATCTGAAGTTGATGATATTGAGTCCAGTAGTCTGCTTGAGCTCCTGTGACAGTATCTACATCCAGGAGAGACCAGGGTCTGATTTACTGGAGGTAAAAATCTGGGTTGCCTAAGTGTCTATACTAAAATCATAGATTTCTTTGATTTGTGAAGGGTGATTTATGAATGGTTTTTGAAGTCTGTCAGTATCCAGTTTATATTTGATGCTACTGTTGCTGAATTTACCACTATGGCCAATGTGATATATTTAATGCTGTCAATCACTTTTATGTGTATGACAATATCTGGATTGCCAGAGGGTCATAAACAATTCTTTGGGCTCATTCCCAAAGAATCAGGTAAAAGACCAAATAAATTTCAACCTCCTGTCTAAAATAAATGGAGGTAGCTAGATCCTGAGACAGAAGCAAAGGCCAATAGTTAGCTATATTCCAAGGATGTTACTGAAACAGAGGTACCACTATAGTCAACCAGGAAACTCCAGCACAGAAAACAAACAAACAAATGGACAAACAAGAAACATAAGAAGACAAGGTAACAGCATGCCTCCAAAAACTCCCAACTCTTCAAAGCTGATTCAGGAGGCATCAAGGGAGAGGAAATCAAAAGCCAAACAGCAGAAATATCTGAAATAATATCAGTGCAAATAACAAAAGAGATGAACAAGGTGCTTGGCAAATTTAAGGATGATACAGCTAAACGGATAACGATCCCAATGAAACAAATGATCAACAAGTCTAGAGAAGACACTAGTAAACACCTCACAGAGCTAAAGAAAGAGATGCAAAATATAACTTCCCAGTACAGAAAATAATGAGAGTCCATAAACAAATTCCAAACAGAAACCCAGGAAATTAAAAATATGATTGAATGCATGGGCCACAAAAGCAGCCATGTGAAGACAGAGTGTCAGATCTAGATGTCAGGGCCAAAGTTGTTGATTAATTAATGAAAGACACTTTATAAACAAGTAAACATGAAAAATGGATCCAGAAGGTGCTAGATGATACAAAGAAGACTAGCCTAAGAGTAACTGGAATTGGTGAAAAAATCACAAGACAGCACAAAGGGCAAAAATAAACTTGTTTACAGAAGTAATGGCAGAAAAATTTTCAGACACAGAAAAAGAATTTAAATCACAGATAATCAAGCAATACGGAACCCCATATAGCTGTTATCAGGAAAAATGCACTATGTGCCATATCATAATTAAAATATCAGAGATCCAACATAAGAACAGAATTTTAAAAGCTGTTAGAGAAGAGCAATACTAGAAAGCCCATCAGAATTACAGAATTCTCATCAAAATTACAGACTTCTCAACAAAAATCTCAAAGGGAAGGAGAACTTGGAATGTAGTGTTTCAAGTGGTCTTCTTTTCTTTTCTCTTTTAGACAAGAAAACCATATTCAACCTAAACATATGTATCTTGCAAAGCTATTCTTCAAAATTGATGGAAAAGTAAGCTATTTCTATGATAATAACCACTAAGATCAATAAATGACCAACAAACCAACACTGAAAAATTCTTAGGAATATTCTAGAGAGAGAGAATGAAACTAACAATAGGAAAGGGTCCCATGTAGGGAAAGAAATTAAGAAGGAAAGGAAAGGAAAACAGTAACAGAAAATAATACAATAGCAGGAATAAGTCATTATCTCTCAATTATAACTGTTAATGTTTAAGGTTGCAATTTGCCAATCAAGACAAAGATTAGCAGAAGAGATCAATAAACAAAATCCAATGATATGTTGTATATAAGAAACACATCTAACCAAAAAAGAAATTCATAGACTAAAAATCAAAGGAAGGAAAACAATATTCCAAACAAGAAGAACCTGACAATCAGAAGTAACTATTCTATTTTCAAAGGAGAGTTTAAACCAAAACTGATCAAAAGAGACAAATTTCATATTGGTTAGCAGAGCTGTTCAACAGGAAGAGATAACAGCCATAAACATATATGCACCAAACTTCATAAATCAAACACTTGTGAACATAAAATATCAGATAAAAATTAATAAAATTATACTAGGTGACCTTAATACCCCACTATCCAAATAGATACATCAATTGAACAAAAAAATCAACAAAGAAATGTCAGAGTTGAACAGAACCTTTAAACAAATAGACTTTGTAGATGTATACTGAGAGTTCCTGCCAACAACAGAATATAATTTCTTTACAGCAGCATGTGGAATGTTCTCCAAAAGAGACTACATATCAGCTAATAAAAATGGTTAAATAAATTTAAAGAATCAATATTTTATCATGCATATTATCAGATCACAATGCAATGAAACTAGAAATCAATGCAAAACCATAGAAATCATGCAAACATATGGAAATTAAACAACCCATTCTTGAATAATCAATGGGTCACAGAAAAAATTAAGGAAAAATTAAGACAGTTCCTAGAATTAAATGATCATGCCAGTCAACATACCACATTTATAGGACACAATGAAAACAGTCCTATGTAGAAGTTCATAGCTATGACTGCCCACAACATAGAGTGAGCCCAAATAAATTACCTAATGATACACTGAAAGGTCCTAGAAAAACAAGAACAATATAAATACAGAGCTT